TTGTGAATAGTGCTGTGATAAAAATGGGCAAGCAGGGGCTGGGGATGTAGCTCAGTGGTACAGCGCCTGCCTGGCAAGCACGAGGTTGTGAGTTTGATCCCTGGTATGGGGGGGTGGGGGGTGGACAAGCAGGTATCTCTTTGATATGCTGATTCATCTCCTTTGGATATATGCCCAAAAGTAGGGTAGCTGGTAGCTGGGTAATTGGTAAGTCTGTTTTTAGTTTTTTGAGGAACCTCCATACTGTTGTCCGTAATGGCTGTAGTAATTTATATTCCCAGCAACAGTGTATGAGATACCTTTTTCCATATTCTTACCAGGATTTGATTTTTTTTTTTCTTTTTAATAGTAGCTTTTCCAACTGAAATGGGACTGTATTTCATTATGCTTTTTTTGTTTGTTTGTTTGTTTGTTTTTGTTTTTCTCCGGTACTGGGAACCGAACTCACGACCTTGCGCTTGCCAGGCAGGCGCTTTTGCCGCTGAGCTAAATCCCCAGCCCCTCATTACGCTTTTGATGGTAATGCTATTGAGCTTTTTTTCATGTGTTTGTTGGCCATTTGTATATCTTCTTTTGAGAAGTGTCTATTCAGATCATTTGCCCAAGGTTTAATTGAGTTTTAAAAAATTCTTTGTATATTCTGGGTATCAACCCTTTGTCAGGTGAGTAGTTGGAATAGATATTTCCTCCATTCTGCAGGGTGTTTTTTACTCTGTTGATGGTTTCCTTCACTGTGCAGAAGCTTCTTACTTTGGTATACTGTAATTGCATTTGTTTTTATTGCCTGTGCTGGTGGGATTCTGTCCGAAAAAGTCATTGCCAATTAATGTCTTAAAGTGTTTTTCTTACGCATTCTTCTAGGAGTTCATAGTTTCGAGTCTGAAATTTGTGTGTTTGATCTGTTTGGAGTTGAGGGGTGTGTGCGTATGTGTGATCATGCTATTTTCGTTGCTGTAGCTCTAGAGTATGCCTGGAAATTAGGTATTGTAGTGCCTCCAGCTTTGTTCCTTTCATTTGATTTCTTTGGTTGCTTCGGGTCTTTTGTGCCTCCATATGAATTTTAGCATTGTTTTTCCTAGTTCTGTGAAGAATGTTTAATAGTATTTTGATGGAGATTACATTGATCCTGCAATTTGCTTTGGACAGTGTGGGCATTTTAACAGTATTCTTACAATCCATGAACCTGGGAAATCTTTCCATTTTTGTGTGT